AAAGCAGAAGGATGATCACTGCGAAACTTCTAACAATACTGTCATAGTGAATAACTCTGCAGTAATTCACAGAAACCAAAAGTTGCACGGTTGCAGGCAGGGAGAATGTCCAAAGATTTCTACCAGATTCTCTGAAGACATCGTCAATATTTGGTGCAAAAAGAAAAAAGACTAGCACGGGATATATCATCCTCCAGATGCTCGTAAGCAAGACACTTATGCAATATAGGAACAAAATCTGAAGTAGAATGAGAACGGCGGAGTGTAAATCAACAGGACAATATGGAGGATTATGAGTGTAAAACTATGCGTATCAAATTAATGAACACTTAGCTTAGTCGCGAATCTAATTGCGGTAGACCATGACAACGGGATAATAGCGATAATGATACTGACAGCGATGACGACGTTCAGCAAGAAAAGAATACAGAATCCGTTCATTTAAAAAAAACGAATAGGAAAAATAAACATGAAATAAAATAATTGTACTTTTTGATGTAATCCGTAAGATCGGGCAGTGTAGGCAATAAACTATCCAAAAGTTCTTCACGATCAGCTTGCGTAAATTTGTCATTATCCGTTTCTGCGATCACAATATAGCTAATCAGAGTAAACCAGTAAAACATCTTCTCGCAGTTGATTTCTTCGATCAGCTTTCTGCAAGCAACAAGACGGTGCAAGCCTGTTATTATAACATAAGTATTTTATATACAAGACAGGTATGACAAAAGAATGGCACCAGAAGATTTGTAGCCGAATATTACCGATCTGCATACATTATTATTGAAGATTAATCACCTATGCTTGCCATGGCACACGAAAGAACGCATAGGAGCACAGAAAAGAAAATGCGATGTCGGTGCAAGAGCAAAGAAGTTCAAATGGCAATGAGCTTGATACGTTGAACAAACCATCGCTTGGTTAAAGAGTTATTAAGTTGGGTTCCAAGAAACAGTGTACCGATGGTAGGAGGGCCTACGGCGATTGGCAACTTAACCCAAAAACTTTGTTGGAGCGAGACACGTTGGAATTTCAGAAGACGAAATTTTGTGACAATATTTTTAATAGGTCTTTCTGTAGCAAAGAATCCAAAACGTCATACATGTTGCTGATACTCATTCAATTACTTTCCTCGACGTTTACTTACTCGTTCATTTACTTGCATACGTATTCACTTTTACTTGCAGCTTTATTTATCAACGTGTATGCTCACTTACTAACTGAGAGACATTTATCTGATTACATAGATCCTTACCTAAATACTGGCTTAAACGGTTGTCTACTCACTTATTTTCTATCTCCTTAGAATCCATCTACCGCTTGGTATCCGTAATTACTGACTCGTTCGCCCATTAGTTTACTCTTTTACGTGCTGATTTACTAACTCACTGAATTACAGTTGAAGGTAGTCAGTTCTAAGTTAGTTTCTAATTAAATAATTTAATTACTTGTTCGGTGGGCCAGTTAAGAGCATATGTACTTATTTCTAAATTACTGTCTTCGACAAATACTCTTTGAGTTACTCATCGATTTATCAAATCAATTACCGAATTCCACAAAAGTAATTCACAAACTTTCGACATGCAGACAGGCCAAAGACAAACGTGTAGTTTAACATGAACCCACTGTCCCAGTCAAAGAACTTAAAATACTTAAAATTATTTAGTACCTGTCATTCAGAAGATTGAAGTTTTTGACGGCGAAGGCTTTCGGTCTCTGGTCGAAGATGGCAAACAAAGTTTTACGCACCGTCTCCTCATGCGTGATAACGTCCAGTTTCCAAATCAGTTCAGCAACGTTGTTGTGACAACTATCGAGCCATGCTGGTATAAGTTTCTTTTTGCATATGTCTCGAACATTTTCTATAAATCAACCGTTAAAACAAACTGTCTAACGAAATAATATACTATAATTAATTAGAATTGTTATGAATCGATAAATTATGCGAGAAAATTCCACGTTGAGACACTCGTAACATCCAAGAACCAGAGTAGTACTGCGAAATC